AGGGTGGTGGCCGCCTGCCAGGCCGTGCTGGGAGCTGCTGCACTCAAGCCAGGCCCCGGTGCCAGCTCCTCCGTGCGCTCTGCCACGCTGCTCCTGCCCGTGGCACAAGGGAGCACCGTGTCCCCGCTGTCCAGCGCCCCCTCCTCCTTTTATTGCAGGATGTGCTCGATTCCAAGAATGCCACTGTCAAGGACCTGCAGCGGGAGCTGGCCCGAGTCTGCAAGGTGAGGGGAGGGGCTGGGGCTGTCCCGACCCCCTGGCTCAGGGCTGGGGGGTTGCTGGGGGAGGCTGCAGCTGGAGGGGGGATGGAAACAGGACCTTTGCTTCCAGGTCATGCCCAGAGTGGAGGAAAGGGAATTTGCAGCACCCAGCTGAGCTGTAGGACCCAGCCCAGGCTGCAGTTTCCCATTTCCCCCGTGTTGGCATCTCCCCCTGCCCTGCCATGCAGAGGGCCCAGGCGCAGAGGGGCCAGATCTGGGTTTTGGGCTGACCATGGGGGCACTTCTCTTGCAGGCCCACAACGACCTGCTGCAGACCATGGAGGCAAAGCTGACAGCCTTTGGCATCCCCCTGGACAACCTGGGCTTCAAGCCCCTGGAGATCCCCATGCTGGGCCAGGTGCTGGGGCAGGGTCCTGCCGGACTTGTCGCGACGCCCACCTGATGGCCACGCTGGGTCAGGAGTGGGGCTGTGCCCCCCGGGGGTCTGCACCATCCAACAGATCCCAGGGAGCCCCCAGCAGGGCCCACAGGACCTTCCTCTCCTCCCCTCTCTGCGGGCGTCTTTGTTCCAGAGCAGCCCCCCAGAAGGTGATTTTTGGACACTAACGGTGCTGGTTTGAAGCCTTTAATGGTGTCAGTGGCATATTTTGCCCCCAGTGACACAGGGGGAACAAGCCTGTCCCCTAACTGCCCCGGTATGTGGTGTAGGAGAAGGGGCTGATTAGCAGCGGGAGGTGCAGCTTCTGGGCTGGGTCAGCAATGGTGAAGACAACCTAGGAGAGAGCACGGGGGGCTCAGCCAGGCCCTGGGTTGTTCCCCCTGCTCCCCACATTCCCTTGCCCCCCCCCACACCTCAGCAAA